AAAAAAAAAAAAAAAGGAGGAAAGAAACCTTACCCTTCTCTTCTCTAGTTTTATAAGCCTGTTAACCACTTTGACAGTAAAAGGTGAACGAATGACTGGTAATGTCCTCCATAATAGGTTAAAAAAACAAATTATAACTCATTCTTGTATTTCACACAGGCAACACTAGCTGAAAAGAATCCTAGCCGGGTATGATGGGTACACCTGCAGTCCCAGCTACTCAGGTGGCTGAGGCAGGAGGATTAACTGAGCCTGGGAGGTCCAGGCTGCAGTGAGCCATAATTTCATCACTACATTCCAGCCTGGGCAGCAGAATAAGACCTTGTTTCAAAATAAACAAACAGTCTTCATCAGAAACATCAAAGAGGCCAGGCACGGTGGCTCACACCTGTAATCCCAGCACTTTGGGAAGCCAAGGCAGAAGACTCAGGAATTTGAGACAGCCTAGGCAACAAAGCAAGATCCAGTCTATATTTTAAAAAAGAAAAAGAAACATGAAATAAGAATGCATGTAGATCATCAAATAAGTAGTTAGCTCTTAAAAATCGTCACTAAATACTAAATTAATAAGTTTTTGAAAATGCTAATGAAGTCAAACATATGACCCAGCAATTACACACCTAGATATACCCAACGGAAACAAAAACATGTCCACACAAAAACCTGTATATGAATATTCACAGCAGCTCTAGTCATAATATCTCAAAAGGAGAAACTCAAATACCCATCAATTGAACAGATTAATAAAATGTAGTCGATCCATACAATGGAATTTTATTTGGCAATAAAAAGGAACAAAGTACTGGTAACATGTTGTAACATGGATGAACCTTTTTATTATGCTAAATAAATGAAAAAAAATTCACAAGAATCCACATATTATATGATACCTTTTACATGCAATGTCCAGAATAGGCAAATCTATAGAGAAGAAATTAAGCTGGTGGCTGTTGCTGGGGCAGTAATGAGGTTTCCTTCTGGGATGATGAAAATGTTCTACAATTAGATTATTGTGATGGTTGTACAACTGTAAATATTCTAAAAATCGATGACTTAACTTTAAAACAGGTGAACTTTATGGATGGAATGCAATCTCAACAAAGCTGTTTAAAAATACAAATTAAGGCATAAAAATTGGGATGACCAGATACAGATTAAGAGTGGCTGATTTGCAAGAGAGGTTCTGGATTTAAGTAGCAAAGGGAGACCTGATAATAGACACAGTACTTCGGGTTCTGTAAGAAGCCTGAATAAATTTACGTTTCTCTATCCTAGCACTCTAGGAATTAGGACTATAAATTTACACAGGAGACAATCAGTTCTTCAGTCACACTTCCTAAACTGTCTCCCAAACCCTACAGAAGTTTATCACCTTTCTTTTTTTTGAGCTGGAGTCTCGAACTGAAGCCTGGGCTAGAGTGCAGTGGCACTGTGACCTCGGCTCACTGCAACCTCCATCTCCCGGGTTCAGTGGATTCTCTGGATGCAGCCTCCCAAAGAGCTAGGATTACAGACGCCCAGCACCATGCCCAGCCAATGTTTTTGTATTTTACGTAGAAACTGGGTTTCACTACGTTTGCCAGCCTGGTCTCGAACTCCTGACCTTGTGGATCTGCCTACCTCAGATTACAGACATGAGGCACCACCCGGGCCAGTTTACCATCTTTAGTATAAATCGATTAAGCCAAAACTTCTCTTTCCCAAATCCTCAAATCTGATTTTAACAAGAATAAGAACACTTCATGTCACAATTCAGGGAAATTTCAGATAATCGGGGAAATTTCACATCATCAAGATGGACACACATCTAGGGAAAACGGATGAGGGATATAAGGAATCAGGAAACTCAAATCTACATTTCAGAGACTGGGTATTTGAAAAACTGCACAATGACATGAAGTAGAACTGCGCCATAGAATTAAACTCAGACTTCCTACAAAAGTCATCTATGGCATACACTGTATACAAAATTTAATCATCTGCTGATTACATTTGCAGGAGATATGTTAATTCTGATACAGAGCCAAGGCTGAGAATCACCATCACTTATTAGGTGTGTGACCTGGAGGAAGTTACTTCTCAAAATCTCATGTTTTCTCAATTCTAAAATAAAGTAACAATACCCATTTGAAAAGGTGGTTGTGTGACGGGACATATTTTATGAAAACCCTTAGCACAGTGCTTGATTCACAGTAAGAACGCAACACTGTTCTCTATAGAATGTGAAAATGAGGTGAATTTTGGTAGCTCATCAGCCATAACTAATAACAAAATAATTATCATACTTAATATAACTATCATACTATTTCTAGGCGAAGTGACTAAAAAGGGTTCACAAGTAGATAAAATACATTACCCAAGTATTAAAAATAAACTGGTTCCTACCTCTTGCCACCTTAAAAAAATCACTGTACCTCTCTGAACTGTATTTTAATCAATTCCAAAAGAACACACAATAGTTGTAGGATCTACCTGACCAGATCCTATCGAATTTAATTCCAATTCCAGCAATAAGAATTGGTTGCGAACTGCTCCCCTCTAAAACCACTCATTCCAGACACGCATGATTAGTTTTAGCTGATTGTATAGCTTTCTTTGCATTTCATGGACAAAAACCAGAAAGCTCTCGTCACTATTAACTTAAATCTTGGGCAGCTGTTTCTTAATTTATCTTAATCTTGAAAATCACCTATCAAAAGATCTACTCCGTTTTCCTCTTAAATCACTATGTGGCTCATCTCAGCACTGCCCCTTTCCAGCCTACAATCAGCAGCCCATGAGGAAAGCTGCAGTAAATGGATGGATGAACAAGTCACAGGCAGACAATTTCTGCCCAGAATGCGTAACACAGCACAGACGAGTGCAAGAGCCACGGTGATAGTCGTTTGCTTTGATTCAGAACTGCCACCGGACAGACCTAAGATAAGCACCAGGCGCATTACATAATGAACTTAAATATTGTTATTCCCATTTTACAGACAGATTCAGGGGCTTAGGGGACCTAGGCAAGGTCACACACCCTGTAAGTGGTGACGCCACGATTCAGTCTCATTGCTTTTTTGTTTCTCCCAGAGACCAAGCTCTTTCCATTACACTGCCAAGCTCGCGCCCCTCGAGAGCGCTTGTTGGAAGCGCAACCCTCGCCCGCCCGCCTGCCCGCATCAATCCACAGGTGCGCTGCAGGAGCCGCCCAGGAAACCCGGCCCTGGCCCGCCGAGGCCCGGACGGCCCCGCAGGCCGAGACCGCAGCCTTCGGGTCCCGAGGCACCAATCCAGGCGAGAGCGCCAGCTCGACCCCCGCGCCCCATTGTTCCGGATCTCACTCACCTCGGAAGATGCCGGCGCAGGCCTGGCTGGGGCGCTCGCCGCAAGCTCCCGGCGGCCCAGAAAGCTAGGTCGGTGACGGCAGGATCCGCGAAGGCGTACCCGGCGACTTCTCCGCCTACCCTCCGAAGCGGGAGCAGGCGGGGGCGCTTCACCCTCCTCGCGAGACAGCGGAGACCCCAGCGGCGGCTGCGACCCCTGTGACGCAAAGTGCTCATCACCAATGGCAGCTCCGAAGCAGGGCAGAGAGCGAGACCCACCCCCCAGCTCCCGGCGCGTCAAAACACAACACCCGCCTTCGTCACGCATGCGCAGCAGACGCGCGCCAGCCTCGAGGGCGGGGCTCAGCGCGCCGGCCGAAACGCGGCCCCTCCCCCGCGGCGCCAGACCCGGGATGAGCGACCCTCCCAGGCTGAGAGCACGACCCTCACCGTCACTAGTACTCAGCCGCTCGGGACACTGGCTGAATGTTCCCCCCTAACTTACCCAGAAAACACAAGAACTAGTTCGACGTCGTTTCAAGCTCACCAAACTCTGCGGGAAGTTACGAAACTGTATCTAGTGTCTAGATAGGGAAACTGTTACATGGACGTGAAGTCTAACCTCCTGTTGTATATCTCCCGGAAGCAAGACCGGGAGTCCAACGGGATCCAAAACCAGTATCCTATAAAGTCTTCAGAGAGGGATCCCCTCCAAGCTGGGGAGAAACAGGACAGCCCAACAAACAGGGCCTGGACTCTTCCCCAAACAAAACACGTTTTTCTCCGCTTTTCCCCTTCCCACTCCCTGAAATCTAGACACTCTTTTAAGATAACTGAGAGGTATAAAGAACGTCTAGAGCCTAAAGCGGCCCGTTGCCAGATTCTACTCCTCAGGCCTTAAATGTGAGCGTCCCAAACATTCTAGAGCTGAACCTGGTCCGCTCGCCCGCCAAACTGCCGTGCTCGGGTCTTAGTATCTCACGCGCGGCCGTTGAAGAGCATCAGATACGCTCAACAAACACTTGTTGCTTGATTGGTACATTATGGCGGCTAACGCGTCCCACCTATTTCTTCTTAGAGATATTATTTTTACATCAAGTTATACGTTTAAGAATGGCTCGATTTACAGGAGTTCCCACAACGATTTGTCACATATAAAAGAGTGGGTGCTATTTTTAAGTCAAAGATGAACAGACGAACGTCCATCAAAATCGTGTGGTATCAGATGCAGGCGGGGCGGGGGAGAAAGCGTTAATTCTTCGAGCGTTGGACGCCGATGTAATATTTAAAACAGATTGCTTTCCAAACTAACTTTTAAATGGACACGACAGCACCTTATCCTGCACCACTAATGCATTGCAACTAGAAAGAAAACCAGTGGAAGCACGCCTATCTTGATCTCTCTAATTGGAAAGAAAAAAAATTAACATTTTCTCGTTTATTTCTTCCCTTCTCTAAAAGGCGGGCTAGGCCCCCAATCACGTGATCCGCGCCCAACTCCGGGCGGAAGAGGCAGGCGAAAACGCTGCATGAAGCGAGTGGGCGGGCGCTCGTGCCCGGTTGAAAGATGGCTGCCGCCGCTAGGCAGCCACCGCCTGGGAAGTTACTCTGAGGCCCGCAGCTCCCGCCGGCTCCCGCGGACCGCTGCCGCCTCCTTACCATGAAGCCAGTGAGTCGTCGCACGCTGGACTGGATTTATTCAGTGGTAGGTCCCGGGGCTCGCGAGGCTCCACCGTCTCGACTCACTGGGCCTGCAGGCATAGGGCCCTATTTCTTCAGCACCCAGTAACTCCAAAATCCATTCTTGAATTAAGCATTTCACTCCCTCACCTCGACTCCGCCTCTTCCTGGAGGATACGATCTTCCGCTTCTTACGTAAGGGCTGCTGGGTGTACCCGCCACGGGAACCCCCTTTATTCGACTTTGCTACTGTAATTCCCACCTTAGCAATGGCACATGGTAACCTGACCGGGGCGAAGGGAAATATCAGACACATTACAGTAATTTTTTTGGCTTTCACACCTCTTTTGCGGTTTTTGGTTATTTTAGTTGCTGCTTGCCATCGTTTTAATCTCCTGGGGCTACGTCATCTATGCATCAACGGTGGCTGCAAGACGACAGCTAAGGAAGAAATACCCAGACAGAATTTTTGGGACGAATGAAAATTTGTAACTCCTCTGGATTTAATTCTCTGCAAATAACATTTCTTTCCCTCATGCTTATGTAGATTTAAAAATAAAATTCATAATGCAAAGTTCCCAAGTTTATTTTTGCATTATCCTTTATAATAAGCACTAGTATGCAAATTTTTCAAATAGAAATTTTAGTATTTTACCTTCTCATGACAAAATACAGCAACCGAGATCCGAAACAGTCTTTGAGTATCAGATCATAGTTAGCATAAGCTTTTCAATCAAGTTTCTAAATTCTTTTAAATGGCTCAGAAAGATTTCTTTAAAACAAAAGTGCTGGACTTTCTGTTCTTATATTTGTTTATTGCGATATTTCACTCTGCTGCATATACCCTGATACCAAATTAGAGTAAGTACTATGTAAGGAAAAAAACCTAACATGTAACTAAATACATTTCCCTATCCTGTTTTCCAAGTCGAGAATAGCCACAAAAAGTAAGTGGTCTCTGGTATTTGCTTAGTATGTTTAGTTTTTATTTATTGTTAAATTACTCAGTCTCAAATTGTACAATGCTTGAAAAGAAGTATGACAATTTCTGAGATTAAACTTTATTAAGTCACTCTTCCAGAAAATTCAGTAAATATGGTAATGTAGGAACAAACTTAGGCTCATAAGCCTTTTAAATTTTTACATAATCTTTAATGATGTTGATCAGGAAATTCTTTCATTGGTGGAATTACTTCTCCAGTCTCCACAATTGTATCACCCTAGAGAAACAAAGATACAGTTAGTAGAAGAATCTTAAGTCTACAGAGATGATAGTTCTATTCTGTTCCATGTTCATCAGACCTCACATGGAAAATGTAGTTGAGTTCTGGCATTTACTTTAAAAGGACCCCAGACAAAGTAGAAGCTGTCTAAATCTGAACAACCAATATTCAATATCTTAAGGTACAGTGAAATCATAGGGAAATTTTCACTTAGAAGCAAAATAACCAAAAAGGGAATGAAAATTGTGTTCTCCAAGTGATAAAGGGATAATCTTTTATTTTGTATGGCCCCAAGAAATGGAGGCCCTAGAAATAAGTTGCAAGGAAACATGCAGAGTTCCAGATAAAGAGTTCACTCCCAGCAACTGAATATGTGTAAAGCAACCAGTTTTTTGATTGGCTTACATATTGAATACAGAACACAAACTTTGGCTGGGCAACTGGTCCAGGTCTTTTCAATCCTAGATAACTGTGTGTGGGCAAAAAGGCATGGGCTTTGAAGCCAGACCAAGTGGTGAGAATCTTAGAACCTCCACTGGCAAGCTGCATCGTTTTAGACAGATTATTCAGCTTCAGTTTCAGCCCTGTGTTTAAGATAACAGATTCTGTCAGCCTGCCAGTGCCTGAATGACTGCATAGAGTAGAATTTTCCATAACCCCACCCCAATCCCTGCCTTTCCCTGACCTGGTACTGCTCAGGATTATAATACAATGAAAAAATAAATGTATTATATTTAAGCCATTATACATTTGGGCAACAATTTGTTACCACAGCTAGCATTATCCTAACAGAAATTAGTGCCTTGAAGTGGCACTAATGCAGCTGTAACAAAAATCAAGCTATGCTGGCCGTGGTGGCTCACGCCTGTAATCCCAGCACTTTGGAGGCTGAGACGGGCAGATCACGAGGTCAGGAGATCAAGACCATCCTGGCCAATATGGTGAAACCCCATCTCTACTAAAAATACAAAAAAATTAGCTGGGCATGGTGGCACACGCCTATAGTCCCAGCTACTCAGGAGCTGAGGCAGGAAATTGCTTGAATCCAGGAGACGGAGATTGCAGTGAGCTGAGATCAGGCCACTGCACTACAGTATGAGTGGCAACAGTATGAGACTCCGTCTCAAAAAAAAAAAACCAAAAACAACAACAACGAAAAAAAACAAATCAAGCTGTAGGGCACTGGCTTAGCAGTCTGGTAGCAAAGATAAAGGCACTGGAGGCTAAAAGATGGAAACCAAAGGCAGTGGCAAACTATTTAGCAAAATATCTCCTATAACTTGGAAGCAGACTGCCTGATGAACTTGAGGTTCTAGGAGAAGTGGCTGGAAAAAAAGTTACAGTATGTGTTCGGATACTATTGGCTACCTTGGGAATGTACTTTAAGAAGCATGAGCTCAGGGAAAAAGTGGCTGATTTGAGAGGAGACATAAAAACAGAGGAAGAGAGAACACCCTTGGTCCACACTAGACTTTCTGTTCCTGACCAAAAAAAAAAAAAATTTAATGTGGAGAATCTAAAAATTCGGGCCAGTCATGGTGGCTCATGCCTGTAATCCCAGCACTTTGGGAGTCCAAGGCAGGATGACTGCTTGAGGTCCAGAGTTCAAAACCAGTCTGGGCAAGAGTAGGACCCTGCCCGCAAAAAATAAATAAATAAAAATTAAAAATGAGGACCTTGTAGCGTTGAAAAATCAGACTACTTCAGACTTCCTAAACAATAAATTAACACAAGAGATTCTGAGCAACAGAAGCCCAATAAAACTCAAACAGAGGGATGCAGCCCTATGGCAAAGATCAGATTAAAGCGAAGGCAGCCTTTGAACCAGTCTGCCTCAGATGCCTCCACACAGCTGCCACTGAGGTGAGAGAGGCAGATGCATGAGGACAAAAAAATAGGAGAAGTTGGTAACTATGTATAGGAAGAACAGATACTGGAATGAGAAAATGACTAGAAGTAAGCACATTAGATACCTACCAAATATTTTTCTTTCCATGCCTCCAAATGTTGAGGGAAATGAATGGACACATAAACCAAACACAGAATTTACAAAATCCTGCCAGAATGTTTGAAATTAAAACAACGTATGGCATTCAACCTCCTGCAAGCAGGTGGCAGATTTTGATGCCCATACAACCTCTAAGGAGGGCATGCTTCCCACTACCATTTAGATGTGGTCTACATCGATAATGAAAAGAACAAACCTCCTGGACAGAGCCAGCAACCAGGAAAAACTATGGACAAAGGTGTTCTTTCCAGAAAACAAAATCAGTACCCATTCAAGTAACTTCCCACACACGGGTTAGGAGTAAGATTTCAGAATTGCCAAGAACCAGTGACTACTATGCTATCCAAATTTTACCACTGAACAATGGGTGTGGTTGGAGGACAAGGATACAGTTAACTTGCCTTCTTAGTTCACTGACCTGAGATCAACAGAAGTCATCTAAACCTGACATACTATTGTATGTCATCTGGAGATCATGGATTTGGGGCCAGCTGCAGTGATAGAATGGGACTTTGGGATTTCTCCCTAAGGAGAGGGACTAAGTGTCTTATGCATGTGTAGAGAAAGAAGCAAAGAGATGTTTGGTGACTAGAAGGATGGAATGTAGCAGAAACTCCATGAACAGGAGTCTGGGAAAAGGAAAGAACACACCGATAGTATATGGGAATATTAGAATGAATTCTGGCCAACAGAATTTGAGCAGAAGTAATGTAAGCTACTTCCAGGATTAGACCCTAAAAATCATCCCTGAGATGCCCTGCCTTCTCTTTCTATCATGATCTTGGAACCTCATATTCACGAGGCATGGCTATAAGATTCAAGAGGATCACCTCATCCACAGAGTCTGTGATGTCAACAAGAAATAAACCTTTGTTTTGTTAGGCCATTGAGATTTGGAAGTTTTTTTATTACCTATTCTATTCTAAACATATATACAATGACCATTCTTCAGTTCCTCAAAGGGGTCATGGCACAGAAACAGGAAAGAACCACAGTGACAAAAAATATAGAAACATAAGAAATGCTACAGGATGCCTGATGTGATCTTCTGAAATTCAGAGCTCTCCTTTTCCTTTGAACAGTAATGACAAAATAAATTAAAAAATAAACATTTAAATGGAATAAATAGAAGACTAAATAAATGTAAATTGCCCAACTGGTGAAACCAGCAAGATAATTTCCTATTTTGAGACTACCTAGGCTGTAATAAACATCAATATTACACAATAAAACAAAGGAGAAATCCCTTTTTTTTTTTTTTTTTTGAGACAGGGTGCTCTGTCACCCAGGCTGGAGGGCAGTGGTGCAATCTTAGCTCACTGCAACCTCTGCCTCCCAGGTTCAAGTGATTCTTGTGCCTCAGCCTCCCCAGTAGCTGGGATTACAGGTATGTACCAGCATGCCCAGCTAATTTTTTATTTTTATTAATAGTAGAGATGAAGTTTCACCATGTTGGTCAGGCTGGTCTCAAAATCCTGGCCTCAAGTGATCCACCTGCCTCCACCTCCTAAAGTGCTGGGATTATAGGCGTGAGCCCACCGCGCCTTGCCCCCACTTCTTTTCCTTTTTCTGAGACAGAGTCACTCTGTGACCCAGGCTGGAGTGCAGTGGTGCAATCTCAGCTCACTGCAACCTCTGCTTTCCAGGTTCAAGTGAGTCTTGTGCCTCATCCTCCAGGTAGCTAGGATTACAGGCATGTACCATCACACGCAGCTAATTTTTGTATTTTCTTTTTAGTAGAGACGGGGTTTCACCATGTTGGCCAGGCTGGTCTCAAACTCCTAACCTCAAGTGATCCACCCACCTCAGCTTCCTACAGTGCTGGTATTACAGGCATGAGCCACCACACCCGGATACCCCCCTCTTATTTCTTAAAGCAGAGTTCCACCTGGGACAATTGGCCAGTTTTGGTGCCCCTTCCTAAAATTCCCTTGTTGCAACAGATAATGATGACTGTGACTAAGTCATTTGATTAAAGCAAGAATGACACTAAGTTTTGTTATTTAAATTATGGAATTTTGAGTTACAACAGTTCATTCATTATCTGTGACTAGAAATAGACAAGAACATAACATGTATTCTACTATGCTAAACAGTAACCTCACCAACAGTAAAAATACCAACTGACTACTGAGTCATCTTTTAATGCTAAAATAACTCATTTTAAATTAGTACTATGGCTCACACACTCATAGTATAAAGTTTAACATACACTTAGTGGATGTTAAATTCACAGATGGAGAACTTGAAGGCAAATCTTGAATATGAGGTACAAAGCCATAGGACATGAGAGTTTGGAAGAAATAACAGAAATTCAGTTGCTGTCACCATGCATGGATGTTTGCTTAGGC